ACTGAGCCCTGCAATGGTGGCGGGGAGGGTGGGGGAGGCCAGGCCCAACCTAGTGGCGGAGTGGGGGAAAGGGGGAGTGCGCCCCCCCCCACTCCATGAAAGAGGCAGTGGTGCAAGGGTGGGGCAGCCCCAAACCCGAACTGCCGGGGGGAATGGGGCCATTCTTGTCAGGCAGTTGGCTAGTGATGAGATAATGATAACTGTCTCTGTGGATGCAGGGAGAACACTGAACGTGATATACCTTGACTTTAGCAAAGCTTTTGATACTGTCTCCTACAATATTATTGCAAGTTAAGGAAGTCTGAGTTGGATGAACTGACTGTAAGGTGGACAGAAAACTGTCTGGTCAGGCTTGAAGGGTAATAATCAATGGCTCAATATCTATTTGGCAGCTGGTATAAAGTGGAGTTCCCCAGGGGTCAGTCCTGGAGCTGGTTTTGTTAAATATCTTCATCAATGACCCGGAAGGAGTGCACCTTCACTAAGTTTGCAGATGGGAGAAGCAGAATTCAGAGAGACCTCAACAAATTGGAGGATTAGATCAAAATCAAATCTCATGAGGTTCTATAAGGAGAATTTCAAAAGTCAAGGATGGAACAATTCCATGCACTGGTACAGGCTGGGGACTGCCTAGCTAAGCAGCATGTCAGCAGAAAAAGACCTGGGGGTTACAGTTGAAAATAAGGTGAATGTGAGCCAACAGAGTGCCCTTGTTATGAAGAAGGCTAACAGCATACTGGATTACATCAGCAGGTGTATTGCGAGCAGATCAAAGAAAGTGATTCTTCCCTTCTATTTGGCACTGGTGAAGCCACATCTGGAGTACTATGTCCAGTTTTGGGCCCCCCCACTACAGAAAGGGTGTAGACCAGTAGTCTCCAACCTTTTAAGTAGGAGATCACCTTTGGCATTTAAAAGCAACTCAAGATCTACCATGCATTGCCGCCACCCCCACCCAAAAGGTAAGTCTGTGGGAGGGGAAGGGGTGTGGGGGAAGATCGAGGCAGAAGGAGAAAACATTTTTTGGGGGTGCACCTCCCCAGCAGGTAGAGTTGCACCTAGCTGGGGCCCCACTCAACTTACCCCTGCTCCTGCCTCTGTGGCACTGTCCTTCACCATGGAGGCCTCGATCTAGATCCCACCCCTTCCCTCCCCCACGGTCTGACCTGCTGCGCTGGGGTGCGTGCATGCATACACACGGGCATTCAGCCCCTCACCCCAGCCTTGGATCAACTCCAAGAGGCTTCAAAATCTACTGGTGGATCGAGACCCGCTGGTTGGTGACCACTAGTGTAGACAAATTGGAGAAAGTCCAGCAGAGAGCAACAAAACTGGTTGGGGGCCAGGACACATGACTTCTGAGGAGAGGCTGGGCAGACTCAGCATATTTAGTCTGGAGAAGAAAAGACTGAGGGGGATTTAATAGCAGCCTTCAACTATCTGAAGGGGGGGAGGTGTTCAGAAAGGATGAAGGTAGGCTGTTCTCATTGGCCACAGATAAAGCAAGGAACAATTACAGCAAGGGAAGTTTAGGTTTAAATATGAGGAAAAACTCTCACTAAGAGAGTAGCAAAGCACTGGAACAAGTTACCCAGAGAAGAAGTGGGATCTCCACCCTTGGAGGTTTTTAAGACCTGGCTAGACAAAGCCTTGGCTAAGATGAACTAGTTGGGAATGCTGTGATCAGGGTTTGGACCTCCTGAGGTCTCTTCCAACCCTCATTTTCTATGATTTATGCTCTTTCCTTTTGTGTACATGAGAAGGAGCCTAGACTATGTGGTAACTAGCTGGGCACCCAGCTGAGAAAGGGGAGTCCTGGGTTCCAGTCTCAGGCTATTAAACAGTTATTGAGCAAGAAATTAGTTAAAAGCAAGAAATAATCGTGGTATCAGTGACTGAACCAAGTGCTTTCCTGCAACCCCGGACTCAGGCACCTAAGCTTCATAGAGGGCAGCATTTCTGAAACACTACTGTGCTTGGTGTTTCCTACTGGCTAGCTCTAGGTAGCTTTCTGCTCAGCATGTAGTGTTTTTGGATCATCCTGTAAAGCCACTCTTCCCATGCACTGTACAGACAGCCTAGATATTTAACACTGGGTTTAGAATTTCACCTTCAGAAGTCAGGTGCCCCTGCACGTAATCTGTGGGTGTCCAAGCGCACACAAGTCCCACTGAAGGTAATGGGACTACTCAAATGCATTACATTAATATGCATTTAATAATTTATTGCTTCAGGGAACTAGAAGGAAACAATAACTGCTGTCTCAGCTACCATATGAGTGAGTCTAGAGCTGTTCTAAAATGGTTACCTTTCCCAAGGGGCTGAGCACTGAGAAATCCCAAGTCTTCCCTCACTATGGGAACAAGAGACCAGGAATTCATTAAAATCCACTGTTTCTTTGAAACAATACCTATAGCTGTACACCACAGGCTTAAGCAATACTAAAATAGTTTATCTGCTCTGACTCTATAACATTTCAGCAGCAGGATACAAGGTCCCTTTGGGTCTGCAACAGAAGTGCAAAGTAAGAGGATCTTCAGCAAGGGCAGAGCAGAAATAGCACATACCGAAATATTCAAACATCCTTTTAAGCCCAGGGCATTATATCCATTCAGGAAGCACTTCCCTTCAAAATTCTCCAGTAATAATACAGAAATACAAAACCAGGAAACAACTCACAGCAGGATCAGGTACACAGCAGGAAAAAGGAACCCCACATTTCTCACGACTTTTGCTTTCACTGCTGCAGTTGAAGTAAATGTTAAGATCCCAATCTTCTGGACCCTGAGCACCACAGCAATGGTTCTGCAACAGAGAAACAACACACTTGATATCATTTGGGCAATACACAGATGAGAGAAAACAGCCCTGTAAGACATTTACCTATCTTCACTTTACAGAGATGATGCAGAAGCAGAGAGTTTGAGCAACTTGCCTATGATTACCCAGTGAATCAATGCCAAAGCCAGAACTGGAGACATGTACTAAGGGCAAACATGTCACCAAATAAAGCGGATCACCTGCGCTGGAATGTATCCCACCACAGAAGATCTGCTACACCAAGCAAAACAGACACTGCCCATTGTCCCACAAGGTCAGGCCCCTGTTGCTCTGGAAACACCTCCAGAAACGGGAATCCAAGTAGGCACTCCCAAGGCTTCAGAGGCCTAACCCTGTGTGCCCCAGGAGTAGCATTCCTAGGTGCGCAAAATCAGGCCCCTGAAGCTCTTAGAGTGATTACCCTTAGAGCAAACAGATGCCTGCCACAAAATAGCAGCACAATGTATCACTTGCATCATGGCCACAGATTTTAGGAATCTGTGGTGCAGCAAGGGACATGAATATCTTTTTGTCTGGTCTTTGTGCTGCCACAAACATTTTTATGGCAGTACAAAGGTGACTTCTGTTTCCAGCCTAAAAAATTTCAGAAGTCTCAGTTGCTTTCACTAAACCAAAGTATCTGATAAAATGTGAATTACCATATGGGACTAATGCAATCATGTTGATGGAGGTAAACGTCAAATGTCACTACAGCTATCACTCTAAATAGCAGTATCTGACCAGAAGCCATCTTGGTCTTGCAAAATCATATTTAAAAATTTCCCTACCAGGCGTACCATTGATCACACCAGATTCTGGAATACAGCTATTGAAAAACATGGAGAACCTTGCAACACTGTCCACTCATGCTGTACTGATTTCATAAATAAAAGGACTGCAGTCTCATGTTAATCAAGACAGTCACATCTGACAAATTTTAATCATTACTGGGGTAGATTTTTGTTCTTCTCTCTCTAAAACAGTTACACAAAGTCTTACATTTAACAAATATGGAAATACCAGAGACTGAGACCTGGGGAAAATTAAGGTGTTACTTGATGCATGGTAAGTATATACTTAACCATAGGTGACTGGTACAGGGGACATGGGTTGTGGGGACATGTGCCTCCCCGACAGGTCTGCCCCTGCCACTGGCAGCATCTACAGGTGCTTGCCAGCTCTGCCACTGCAGATGCTGCCATCTGCAGGTGCCCCCCAGACTCAGGAGGCACCAGTCACCCATGTACTTAACCACAAATCAACAAGCAGTTTCTCCTCCCAATTTTTCTATGAAGTTACACTTTTAAAACATATTCATATTTTATTGTATTTTTATTAGCCAATTTGGGACTATTTTTCCAACATTTTAATATATGTAAACACAGTGATTTCAGCTAAGACAACTGTATCCAATCAACCAAGCAATATCTCGAAAATAAGGCACACAAAATTCTTAATCAAGCAAAATTAAATTGTCTCCAATCTGTATCAAGTAGTTTTAAAATGTTCAAATCACATGTATTTCATTGAAGTGAAAAATAATAAAACAATATCTTCGTTATGACTAGCATCTAACAATAACACTAAAGGAGAAATTGTTTTAGAAGGCACGCTACTCTAAGAGGTTGTGAAATTCAGGTAAAAAGCATCAAGTTTCAAGGAGAAAAGGCTTAAGGTACTGGCTACATAAAAGTGAAATTGCCAAGAACTGGTCCTAGGGCAGTACCTTCAACCTTCTGATTTATATTTGGAGGAAGCTAATAAAAACTGGGCTTCCTGCTTCTTTCCCTCTCCCCCACATTAAGTAACTGTTAAAAAATAAAAGAGGTACGATTCTCACTTAAGGATGCCAATCAAACTGTGTATGGGCTACAGAAAAGAAGCTGTATTCACACTAAGCCAAGCAGAATTAACTTTCCATTAGTCAGTGCAATGAGCTGCATACAAAAGGCTGTCCCAGAGGTATATCCTGAAGGTTCTGCAATTTGGCCCATACCTCATTAGAAGATTCATTTCAGCGCCTCATTGGAAAAGTACAACAGTACCTTGAGGAAGGGTTTTTTCTATGTTACATGGCTGCGTTTACTGATCTACATCAAGTTGTTTCCCTGTTCCAGTAGTGCTTTATCTGCTATGGCAGACTTATTCAGAGATGTTTAGTGTCTTTGTTGGTTCCATGTGACTTGTTAATTTGTCAGTTGAAATCTTTTTTTGGGAAGTTTAGCCTTTTACTTCTCTTGCTTCTCAAAATGTGTCATCTAAAGTCCTGGCACTTGACACACCTGAAGTCATAGCTGCTAGAACCAGTGAGACAAACCCTCAGTTTCTAATGCAGCACCATTACCTGCTGGGAAAGACAGAACTTATAAAAGCCATACAGATACGGGCCTCGTAAAGGAAGTGCTAACCCTGTAGTTGGGAATCCTCAAAGAGTATGCTTCTTCTTGAGACACTAAAGAGAAATAAGTCAAATTAAAGAGATGATGACTTACAATCTTCTGCAGTGAATCAATGAGGTTCTGAAGGTCAATATCATCCCTGTACGATTTAATGTTGATCTCAAAGAATTCTTTGAACTTCTCCCTCACCCAGTCCTGGAACAAGAAAGCTAGTACTGCCACAGTCAGCTCCAACAGAAAGATGAACACAATTGTTCCACAGAACTGCAAAACAGAACAACAGGACCATTTACAAAGATATTCACCAATTTTGAACATGACTAGGTCCTGACTCAATTACAGAGCAGGCACAAGAACTACAGGTAAAGTGTTCATAAAGTACAGATGTCACTGAAATAGTTATTTGAGAAAATGTAATTAAAAACAGCATAAAAAGACATATCCATGTTGAAGCTATCTTTGTTTGGTTGTCTCAAGTTGACAGCGAGCATAGGCATTACATCCTAGTTTACTTGCTAGCATCTAATCACAATCAGTTGTGATCTATGAGAGCTCAGGCCTCTGAACCAACTTCCATCCTGCCTTACCTTCTCCCTGATTTCAGACTAACGTGGCTCACTGCT